GTCCAACTCTTGGTTTCAGCTCCAGTTGTAATCTCAGGAGGTCCTGATATCAAGCCCCAGGTTGGGCTCAGCCCTGAGTGTAAAACCTACTTAAGATTCTCTTTCTCTCTTCCTCTTCCATACCCTCCCCTCCCCCCGCCACACCCTGCTCATGCATGCTCTCTCTCTCAAAAAAAAAAAAACCACGCACACACAAAAAACACAAAAAAACTTAAAAAAGAAAAACTTCTAAAAACAAGACACCCCCACACACACCCAAATCAAGAAGGAAGATTTGAATTTTTATGCTGACTTCCTAGAAGGAATAAAATCTGGGGATTACTTATATTAAAGGATCTTTATATAAAGACTCATTCCCCCAGCTGCTCCACAAATATTCATAGACTAGGGGTCTTTCCTAGGTGAAGCCTTCCTGGATTCCAACCTAGCCCAATCTGAATTGAGCACCCCTTGGCAGAATTATTCAAGTCATTTCATATACACATATTTTATGAAGGCGTAGTACTGGCTCACATAACTCCCCCAAAGGGCTAAGCTCTTCAATGTCAAAGACCATGTGCTTTTCACCATTGTAATCCCTGCATCTGACACAGAACCTGGCTCAAAGTGGGCTCCCAGGAAATGGTCACCACAATGCAGCTTGACAGCCTCTGAGCTTACCATTCCCTGAATCGTGACCAGAACAAACTACAGCAAAGCAATTTCATTTCTGGTGAGCAAGCAAGCACAAGCAAGTATTAGGAACCTGTTGTGTACAGTATTATCCTACACACATTGGAGGAATGCAGATACTTAAACAGCTAGCTAGAAGACAAAGCAGAACAAAATAAAAGCTACAGTGACAATCCACAAAATGTTACTGAATGCCAGGAAAAAAGACTGACATCCAGGAATGTAGTAGAGAGTTCTAAAGTTACAATCCAAAGTAAAAGTAAGAAGAACTCCAGATATAAAACCAATCTCCATTGGGTTTTATAAATGTGATCGAGATTACAGATTACCCAATTTACCTTAAGAGGCCCTGCAATGCAGTTTTCTTTAGATCGGTCCATGATGCCTGAAAAGAAAAAGAACCATCTTTAATTTATACAAATCCTCATGCTTCCAAGTGCGGTTATGCTAGATCCGGATTATAGCTCCTGATGAAAAAGCCTCCACAACACAGAATTTCACACTTTTCCTTTGTCCAAATGAAGCTGGCCAGGGAGCCTTGTTTTCTCAGGTGACATAAGGGACAGGTGTGGGGCTTCCACCCTGCACTGCATCCCCTCCCCCAGCCCCCAGCTTCACTCCCTGAGTCCTCTCGTTCCACCAGCTTGTCTCTAAAGGACTACTTATCAGTGGCAGGAGCCTGCTTCCAACCCTGCTGCCTTTTAAAAGCAGGTCCTCTCTTCCCCATAACGGACTCTGGCTATGACAGCATCTCTCCCCTCACCCTTCAACAACAAAGCTCCAGAACAGTCATCCACACTCACCATATCCACCATTTCTCTCAGCCTCTAGCCCTCCCCCATCAGGATTTCAAACCCAAGGGGCCAGCTCATGACTGACCTCTACTGTTACCAGATTGGTGTCCCACAGCAGCATTTCACAGGGTGGCTCTTTTCCCACTCCCAGCCTCTGCTAGCTTGCAGGGTGGTACCCCACGTCATCAGCTGTCCTACTGCAACCTCCTTTGCTCAATTAGCCTCACTTTTGCCAACTTGAAAGTCTGGGGTGACCTGGAATGAGTCCTTTGACCCCACTCCTTCATCCAGCACCAGTGCTTGAAACATCTTTAAGATGATGTGAATTTACATCTTCTACCCTAACCTCTCCTCTGACTGCCAGACTCCTACCTACCTGCTCAGTACCCCTAGAAAAGTCTGCCAAGCACCTCACTCCCGACACATCCAGAAAGAACCTCTTCTCTCCTCCTAGCTTTTCTTCCCCTCTGCTCTCAGGAGCAGCCTGAGCTTAGGCCCAGAAACACTTTCTTTTGCAGTTATCTTCATTCCCTATAGGAACTCATCCAGTTTCCTGGCTCTCAATACCATTCACAGGCTCGGGACCTCCAAACTTCCTTCTCCAGTCCAGACCTCTCCTGAACTACCACCTATGAAACATCTCCGCCTGTAATCAGAGGCCCCTCAATTTTAAATGTCTGAAACTGAATTCCTGCTCCCTCCCTACCCCCATCTGTCCAACCCTGTTCTCACAGATGTCCCCATCTCAGTTACTGGCAAACCCAGCCTGCCGGTTGCTTGGGTCAACTATCTTTTACACGGTGCTCCTTCAAACCCCACATCTAATCCATCAGCATATCTTGTAGGCTCTACCTTCAAAATCACTGCTCAGGACCTTTAATACCACCACCTGATCAAACCAATGCTCTCTCCCTTCAACTCTTTGCAACAGGCTTCCCATGATCACTCTGCTTCCACCCTTGCACCATTATGGTCCTTTCGCAAACTATTAAGTCAGCTATGCTGGTCCTTGGTTCAGAAGCCCCTCATGGTCCCTCAACTCAAATTCAAAATCCTACCTGCACAGACAGGCCTACAGTCTCACAGTATGGACCCTGACCACATTTCTGGCCTTATCTCCTCTTTTCTATTGCACACCAGCCATACAGGGCTGCTTTCTTTCCTCAAAGCAGTCCCCTGCCACAGGGCCTTTGAACTTCCCTCTACCCACTTGGCTCTTCTACCCACTTGGCTCTTCCCTCAAATAGAAGTGTGGTTTGCTCCTTCATTACATTCAAGTCTCCACTCAGATGTTTCCTTTCTGACCATCTTGCTCTTATTTTTCCTCATAGCCCTTACTTAACATCTTACATAATATTACTTGTACTTGTTTACTTCTGCCTTCCCAGACAATATCCAGCTACCCGCTCAGTATCCCCAAGGAAAGTAAGCTCCATGAGAGCGAGGGCTTAGTCCCATTTTGTTTATGTTGCCTCCCCAGATCATGTCTGGTACATAGTTCCTACACCAGTGTTTGGGGAACGAGTTAATCCATTAAGAAAGCAAATCAATAATGCAAATAGTTTATAACACTTACTAAGCTCATACTGTGAGTCAGGCACAGCAATCTATCAAGTAAGTAGGACATAAACTCCAAGAGACAGAAACCTCTCTGTATTTTTCCTGCCCAGGTGCTCTGAATTCTAGAATCCAATCAGAAAGTGTCCCCCACCCCCACACTTTCACATCCATTTCACAAATAAGCAAATAACTCCACTTTGAAGATAGAACCACAGCTACAGAGCAAGGAGTCCTTATATCAAACAGGTTAGGAGAAATGACAGAAAGGAAAAAGGAGTTATAAGCTCGTGTTATGCAAACATTAATTTCACACATGCTCTAATGCTTTCTCCACTTTCCCTAACAATCACAAGCAGCAGACTAATGAGATCACACAGGCTTAAGGGCATTTATTCAATAATCGTCAACAGAAACTAGATATTTGCCCCAACTGAATATATTTTTCCTTCTCAGGGAGATGAATAATAACAAACAGGATGGAGTAAGATTCTGATCCAAAAATTCTGGAGAGCGCCCCGGGAAAATTGTTTCTCAAATGATTCCAGTCCACAGCCAGGTTCACATGACCCAATGACCTGCACAAGATTCCTGCAATTCAAACCACATACTCACACTATTCTAAACAGGAAAACTGTTAAGATTATATAGCACTGTGCATTTATAGACTTTTTCTTCATCAAACTTGCTAGTGTCTTAGGAACACATAGACTTAGAGGAGAGTGGGAATGAGTATGTGGCTGAAAAGTATCTGATTCAAAGAACAAGAAAGGTTAAGGAGAGAGGAGGAACCGTTAAAAGTCAAGGGCAGTAGCTCCATCTCCATCTGGAAGGTATTTGTTAGAAATGGAGACTCTCGGGCCCAACCACAGACCAAACAAAGCAGATCCTGCATTTTAACATCCCCAGACGTCTAGTACGCGCTGGTCTAGATCACTGGTTCTCCATGAAACATCAGAATCACCTGGGAAATTTGACAAACTACAGACACCTGAGTCCTCTAGGCCCGAGCGCTTCTGATTCATTAGGTGGGTCTACATTTTTCACAAGGACCCTCTGAAATCACGATAAACGCGGTCCAAGACCTGCGGCTTGAGAAGCACTAGCCAAAAAAAACCTCTTTGAGGAAGTTTTCGTTTAGTCACACACTCATCCATTCAGGACAAGGGTCCTGCCTGGCTATTCTATCCAAAGGAGCCCCCGGTAAACCACACTACTGTTTTCTTTTGCAAGTTCTCCGGCCAGTTGGTCGTCTGGCGCCCCACCACCGCTAGAACGCAAACCCCCAGAGAGCAAAAGCCCTCCTATTTTTTTTTCTTACCCAGGTGCTCACCGAATACGAGAACCCCATCAGAAAGCACCCCCGCCCCATGGGGCTCAACAACCCCATGCACTGCAGGCGTTTAGTAAACACCAAGTGGCATCTTACAGGGCGCCCCAGTACCCGCGAGCAGAGGGGAGGGCGCTGGGAAAGCACCGGGGGGCAGAGGAAGGGAGCGGGGAGGATGCAGGTGGGGAGAGGAAGAGAAGGACTGAGGCGGACCGAGGAGGACCAAAGTGGGGACGGGGCACCGAGGCAGGCCTCGCCCCGACTCTTCCCTGCCGGCCCCGCGGCCCCACCGCCCTCTTCCTTCCCGCCCGTCCCGCCGCCCGCTAAAAAGCCACCCAGGCCCGCCGCCCTCGCCCACCCGTCTCACAGAGCTGTCCCAGACTCTACGAACCCGTCGACTCCCGCCTCTGACCCAAAGCGGCCAGTCCTCCCGAGAGCTCAACCGTTAAGATTCAAAGTCTTCATTTTAAATAGGAGTTAAACCCTCTAATCTGAAAGCTGATTGGCCTGGGCTAGAGAGGCGCTGCCTTTTGATTGGTTCACAGCCAACCGGACGGCTTGAGTCCCGTCCAAGGCGGTGACAGCGCGCAGGCGCATTTGCCCGGTAAGGCCCCGGAAGTGGTGGAGCTAACCGCCCGCCAGACTTTGGCCGATCTAGCGCCCGCGGTGCTCTCCGGGATCCGACATTTGTCGGCGAGACAGCATTTCCTTGGTGCCAATCAACGTTGTCGCGCAAGAGGTAAAGTCGGAGGAGGTTAACGAACCACTCCCAACGCGCCAGTAAGTAAGATGGCGAGAAGGGCGGGAGAGGGTGGGGCCGATCGATAGCGCAGCGCTCGGCGCTTCGCCCTTTGCGCGTGCGCAGTGAACGTGCGCTCAGAGCGATCGATCGGACAGAACTCGCGCCTCCATTTTTCTGGGAGAAAGCGGGAGATCAAGAGAGCCGGACTAGCGGGTACTGGGGGCCTGGGATGCCGGGAGAGCGGCTGGTGCGGTCCGCTGGGGTCTTTGCGGAACCACAGGAAAGATGAGCGAGGCGGGAAGGCCCGATAGTGAGTGGGGTGGCATGAGCCCTGAGTTGCTACGCTGGGCCTGCACACCCTCTTCTCTTCCTCGAAGGCCTCGCTCCCACCCTCACTCCATCCTTAGTTCGCTTCTACCGCGGGATGGTAGCGGAGCTTCGTGAAGGGGGCGTGTGTGTTCTCTCCCTGGTCCCCCCTCCAGTTTCGGGTGCAGACAGTTCCTAGGGCTTGTTCTTCCCGTCCTGGGGCTCGGCCTTCTCACCTGCATATTAGGGGTGGTAATTAGGCACTTACTAGCCCAGCGAGCGAACGTTCTGAGACTTGAGAAGCGGGCCTCGTCCTTTCTTTTCTTTCTTAATCTTTGTATACCCCGCGATGCTCCTGGCATGGGTGCAGAGACGGGAGAGAATAGTGGTTAAGTTCTGGGCTCTGCTGTGGGCAGTCCTGGCGGCCACTTGACGAGTTACTCAGCCACATTTTATTTTCAGTTTCCTAACTTCTTTATGCCGGTTTCATCATCTCTCTTGTGTCCTACTGCTGTATACACAAGCATAGATTTATATACAGTTGCTTCTACGTGTGCTTAAATACTTTGATTTCATTCAGTGAGCTAACGCTTGTAAAGTGCTTAGCACGATGGCTGGCAAGTGCTTAATAAGTGGTAGCTGCTGCTGTTATTAACACCCATCAGTGCAGCACAGTAAAGACTGGAGCTCTGAGGTCAGATAGCTTGGGTAAGGATCCAGGCTCTGTCATTGACAAGCTTTTTGATCCTGGGTAAGTTAACCTCTCTGCACCGCAGGTTGCCTCTAAAATAGGATTAGATGAGTATTAAATGAGGTAATGCATATAAGTTGCTTACACTGTGTTATATACTACACTTATGTCTAATAAATTTTAGCTAGTTTATTACTGAATTTTTTTAAGAATTTTATTTGAGAGCAAGAGAGGGAGCACAAGCAGAGGGAGAAGCAGGCTCCCCGATGAGCGGGGAGCCCTGTGCGGGGCTCAGTCCCAGGATCCCGGGATCATGACCTGAGCTGAAGGCAGACGCTTCATGGACTGAGCCACCCAGGCACCCCTGTCATTAAATTTTTAAGGAGCACTACAGATAGTCATCAGGGACAACACAGTCCTTGAGTTAAACCATCTGTATTTTGTCCTGGTTTCTCCAGGCACTGGTCATAGGTCCTTGGACAAGTTATTTTCCCTTCTCATCTGTAAACAAGATTACAGGGCCTCCCTTACAGGATGGTGTTGAGGACTAAGTAAGAAAAAACATGCTGAACACTCAGTAACTGTTGGCTGTTCTTATGATCAGTAGCTTAAGTTATTCTCCAGGGGGAGTTAGAAAACATGGTTCCCCACTCCTTTGCTGTAAGACACCCCCTTCCAGAATCTTTCCCTATAAAGTACAGCAATCCAGGCAGTACTGGTGTTACTGCTCACTCCTCTCCTTTCTGGTATTCCGCTCTCTCCCCTGTGCTCTTTCAATTTCTTGTCTGCCTGTGACTTCTGTTCCTTATTACTGGCCCCAGATTGCTGTGGCCTTCTGATCGCTGTCCAGATAAACATATACATACGAACATTGATTTTTGGAAGTCAAATTATCCACTCATGTCCACCAATTGGACTTATTTTTTTGCATAGACTAGAAACCATCATCTACCATTTACTTTCTAAGAGAGAACTTAAGCACTTGTGAACCAATCTAAGGGCACAATCCTTTAGATTTTTACCCTTTTTTTTCACGTTTTTATCGTTGTTTTGGCCATATCCTACTTGCCAGTATTTTATTAAGCATCTTTGAATCTTTCCAAAGCATTGTGGCTTTTGTGCCCTTGTGTTTTTATTTACTAGCTAAATAAATTATGTAATTTAGCAAATTTAGTTATCTTAAAATGTGTTTTAAGAATGAACATAGCTGACATCACTAAACATACAGCTCAGCTGGTGGAAACAGTAGTGTCTAGACAGTCAACAATAGCAGCTGTCTTACCTATTGCAAATACCAGTCAGTGTCTTATAACAAAAGAAGCAAGATTCTGGGATAGCAACAGAGAATAAAAATGGCAGGCAGGTAGTTTGACAGAGAAGAAAATTTGATGGAAAGTTCTGTAAATATTCGCTAATATGATTTGAATAATTTCTGTGTGCCACTGTGCTCAATGCTCTGCAAGCACCATCTTATTTAACCTTTGCTGACTTGCTTAACAGCTGAGGAACATGATCTCAAGAGGAAGGAGGTTGATGACCAAAGGTGATGCAACTAGTAGAGCTGGGATTTATGCCCCGCAAGGCTGACCGGTTGGCTGTGTTACTTCTGTGACTCACTAGTGCCTCTGCCCTTCACCATCCCTGTTTTCTCATCTTGCAGCTGGCAAGGAAATTGTCTTCCTCTTCTCCACGATGTACAGAACCAAAGTGGGCTTGAAGGACCGCCAGCAGCTCTACAAGCTGATCATTAGCCAGCTCCTCTATGATGGCTACATCAGCATTGCTAATGGCCTCATTAATGAAATCAAGCCTCAGTCTGTCTGTGCACCCTCGGAGCAGCTCCTGCATCTCATCAAACTAGGTAGCTTTGAACGCAGATTCATTGATTCCATGACAAGGTTCCAGAGGTTTTCATAATCAGAATTTTTCAAGATTATTTTTGTTTAGTTTTAGTGCCTCGTATGTGTCAAGTACAGTGCTCGATACTGAAAGAGTAAGCAAACCCCAGATTATGAAGATTTTGAGCTGGTTCTAGCCTCAGGCTCTGTTTAAGAATTATCTGAAGCGTTCTTTCGTTGTATTATTGACTTCAGACTTCAGCTCAAATGGTATTTCAGAGTCCTCTTCACCTTTTCTAAAATTACCCACTGTCTTCCCCATACCTCCCCAGATACTCTAAAACAACAGTCCCATTTCCTTCATAACAGAATCACTATCTGAAATTTTCTTCATTGTTTCAGGTTGTTTCCCATATAGTCTGTACCTCCCCAGAAAAGACAGCAAGTTCAATAAAGATCAGGATCTTGTTTTGTTCAACAATATATCCTGTGCTTGCCTGGGTTGTAGAAAGCACTCAGTAAAATACAGAATTAGCAACATGTTTATACCCTTTGCCTTAGCAGTGCCAATTTTGAGAATTTGTGTTCAAATTTGAGGAAATAAAATTAATACAACTGAAATACCCAACAATAAGGAATTAGTTGTGAACGTTTTTGTATCCATCACATTGGGTCCAACAACATGTTGTAGATAAACATTACACTGGCCAGATGTTTATTTTGTTTGAGTAAAGAACAAGTTACAAAATATCATATAGTGTGGTTCTATTTTTGTTTTAAGAATTGTAACAACTGTGCATGGAGAAAGGTCCAGAAGAATCATGCCACCATGTTAACAGTAATTATCTCTGGGTGATCTAATAGAAGGTCATTTTTATTTTTGTGTTCATCTGTATTCCTAATTTTTCTTATACTAATAAATATACTGCTTATATGAAATGTGAAGTTATTTTTAAATTTAAAATGCATTTTCTTGAGAAACTTCCATTTATTTAAATATCAACATTCTTTCAATATGTTTCACTAGTGTTAATGCTAACAATGTATCTGACTTAATGAGCCTCAAGGCTGCTACTAACAGATCTCAGCACTAAAAATATTAAAATCCAGAATGGGAAAAAATGGACAGCTTAACTGTAGGACTGCTTTTTTTACATTTCTGTAGTTGTAATTAAAGTAGAAAATTTTGGAGGCAAAAATCGGGGAAGCTGATGTAACCTATTGGAGCCTAACCTTCTATAATCCATATTGCCTATAGTGTTGTCACCGTGCATACACCCAGGTTGATATACATAATTTTGTGAAACGCTAGGTGTCATGCAGCTCCAAGAAAGAGTAAATTGACATTGGATCCAGAATTTTGTTTTGGCTTTTTAAAATAACACTTTCTCGTGCACTTAATTTTTTTTTTATAAAGACTTTACTTATTTATTAGAGAGAGAGCAGGAGCAGGGGCAGGGGCAGAGGGAGAGGGAAAAGCGGGCTCACTGCAGAGCACAGAGCCCAACGCAGGGCTCGACCCCCGGACTCTAGGACCATGATCCAAGCTGAAGGCAGACACTTAACTGACTGAACCACCCAGGCACCCCTCATGCACTTTATTTTTATTCCTTTCAGGAATGGAAAATGATGATACTGCAGTTCAGTATGCAATTGGTCGTTCAGATACAGTTGCCCCGGGCACAGGAATTGACCTGGAGTTTGATGCAGACGTCCAAACTATGTCCCCAGAGGCTTCAGAGTACGAAACATGCTATGTCACATCCCATAAAGGACCGTGTCGCGTAGCCACCTACAGTAGAGATGGGCAGTTAATAGCTACTGGATCTGCTGATGCTTCCATAAAGATACTTGACACAGAAAGAATGTTGGCCAAAAGTGCCATGCCAATAGAGGTAAAATCCCAGTAACATAGGTACTGTTTGCCTGTTCGTTGGGAGAATGAGAGACCAGTTTAGACCGGACCTAACTTAGCATTGTTGGGTATTTTGAGGCAGACGGATTTTAGATTTTGAGCATTGTTTTCTCATTGGTCTAGGTCATGATGAATGAGACCGCACAACAGAACATGGAAAACCACCCAGTGATTCGAACGCTTTACGACCACGTGGATGAAGTCACATGTCTCGCTTTCCACCCGACAGAACAGATCCTTGCCTCTGGTTCAAGGGATTATACTCTTAAATTATTTGATTATTCCAAACCATCTGCAAAAAGAGCCTTCAAATACATTCAGGTTAGGAATGTTTGGAAAGGAGCTTTACATTTTTTTCTTAAAAACAAAGAGCTATTATTGTATGACTATTCTCTTTTTTAAAGTAGTCTCAGTGATCATCGAATAAAACAGGAGGACACAACAAGGACACATGCCGCAGGTGGCTCGGGAATCCAATTTGCATGGACACGTGGTCCACATGCTGCCCTCTGCCCACCTCCTCTGGCCAGTCAGGACTTCTGGCCAGTTTATGCAACAAGGGTTCAGAATCTGTAACACTTTTTAAAGGTTGCAGAACCCTGTTTAAAGACAAAACAAATCAACTTCGCTGAAATGTAACTTAATGGGAATCAAAAAATTATTCAGTTGAAACAATCACATGTTTCCTGGAAAAGTGACATTTGGTACCGCATTTTGAATTTGCAGTTCAGAAATACTAATGTTTTTGGTAGTGGCTTCTACCTTTTAGTAATTTAACTTAGTTTTTTACTCAATATTTGGAGACGTAGGACAAACTGAAGAAGCTGTTCACGTGTACAAGTTGTGTTTATCCTTACTCATTCGTGTGCATGTGTCCCAGCCTGATAATGGTCCATTCTGAGTTCACCCGCTGTTCATTTGCAAATAACGAAGCTTGCTTCTGTGGTTTTTGGAATAAATTAATCTCACCAGTAAATAGTTTTTGAAATCTCTGTTCAAATGATACTTTCTCGTATTCTAGAAAGTTCATTGTTCCTTCTTATACCTGTGTAACGTCTGACCATTGTGTATTCTTTCCATCAACCAAATATTTTCCACATTTCCTCTGGATTTAATTGTTCACTAGTTAGTCACTTAATGTTAATGTCTCTGTCCTAACAGGAAGCTGAAATGCTACGCTCCATCTCTTTTCATCCTTCTGGAGACTTTATACTTGTTGGGACTCAGCATCCTACTCTTCGGCTTTATGATATCAATACATTTCAGTGTTTTGTCTCTTGCAATCCTCAAGATCAACACACCGATGCTATATGCTCCGTGAATTACAATCCTAGTGCCAATATGTATGTAACTGGTAGCAAGGATGGCTGCATCAAGTTATGGGATGGTGTTTCAAATCGATGCATCACAACTTTTGAGAAAGCCCATGATGGTGCTGAAGTTTGTTCTGCCATTTTCTCCAAAAATTCTAAATACATTCTCTCCAGTGGAAAAGACTCTGTAGCTAAACTTTGGGAGATATCAACAGGACGAACACTGGTCAGATACACAGGTATGCGAAAAATTGCTATTAACATTTTTTCTGTAGCATTTTATGGTTTCCAGAGCTCTTAAATCCTCATGAGAGCCACACAATAGATGTATGCGTTGAGCAAGGCAGATGTGATCCCTCTTTTAGATAAGAAACCAAGGCTTAGACGTTAAGTAGTTTAGCCAAGGCTGCAGTTCGTAAGAAGCAGAGCTGGAAATAGAACCATAGTTTCATAACCTTGTTCTTCTCCATATGTTACGACTTCAGCAAGTTCTGATTCCATGCAAGTAACATTTGAGGTTCTGGTGGTCCATTTGTAGACCAGTGGTCTGCCTTTTTCTCTCAAACATAAGAGCAGTCCAGAGAAAAGCCTGAGTTAGTGGATCTCAGTAAATCTGTGCATTAGGGAAAGAAGGCTGAGAGGGAAGATCTTGGCCTATTCCTAAGAGTGCAGGTAGCCCTAATAGTTACTTGGCAGTGAGTGTTGGTAAAATATTGTGTCTCATTCCCTGTTCCTCGGAGCTGAAAATGCTGTTGTTTGGTAGAAGGCCTCCAGGAAACTTCAGCCAGCTTCCTCTGTTGTGAGATGTTTGTGTCATACACTAAAATCACCAGGACCAGAACTCTATAAGAAAACAACGCATTGTAAGGGCTGGGCAGCGGTGGTTACTAGTTAGCCTTTTAGGGAAGAAAATTGAAGGGGTGGAGACTGAGGCATCTGAACCACTAGGGTGCAGCATAACCCCCTCAGAGTGATCTGGTAACCAGAGTTTGCTTCCTGCCATCCATCCGTCGGCCTTCTGACATACACAGTACAACTAACTAGCAAGTCTTGGGAAGAGTCATTTTCATCATAATTCTTGGTGACTTTGTTGAAAAACTTTTGTATGGAGCTCTTTTGAAGAATTTCTTTAATTCTTACTGTTCAAGGACTGTGTGCTTGTTGAAAAAAGAAGATACAAAAGCGATCAAAGTAAAAGTGGGAAAGCCTCCTCCATCTTCAGAAGTAACAACCACCATCTGAGTGTGATGTATCAGGAAGGGTACACGCTAGATTCTCACAAGATTTATTATGTTTGTTTTGTCTTGTGAATATTGGGATATTCATCAAAATATTGACTCTGGATGTAAAACTGTCAGGCAGTTTTTATTTTTTATGCTTCATACAGTATTTTAAACATAAAATCTGTATTTTCATGGTCCTAAAAAAGCCTAAAGCTTCCTTTTGGAGAGCAGATGTTCATTCATCCCAGTAATTCTGTTCTAGGAATTTAATCCTGAGGAAATAATGTGTTCGGTGCAAAGAAGTGGTCACAGTGTTATTTGCAGTCAGATACAAACTAAATGCTTAGCAGGAAAAGAATTAGCTAGTAATAGTGCTTCCTAACAGTGGTGTATTTTGCAGTCAGTAAAAAACATGGAAGAATGAATGTACCCAACAAGAAGTTGATTTAAACTATTACAGAAAAGACATATAGCACCAATTTTGTATTTTTTTAAAGATGTTTTTATGCCTAAAAGTACATCAGAGCGTTCACAGTTAGTTGCCTGAGGTGATGAGCCAGGGGTGATTTTCTTCTGCATATTTTCATGGAGTGTTCCAAATTGCACAATAAATGTGTATTCCTTCCATTTTAAAATGCTGTTTTGCCATTGACGGGATAATTAACCAAAGTACAGCAGTCTGAGGATGGCAAATGTAAACGTGGACAGCTAGCCCTGGCACTCAGACCCTTACCCTCTCTTCTCTTTGCAGGCGCCGGCTTGAGCGGGCGGCAGGTGCACCGGACGCAGGCCGTGTTCAACCACACCGAGGACTACGTACTGCTGCCGGACGAGAGGACCATCAGCCTCTGCTGCTGGGACTCTCGCACGGCCGAGCGCCGGAACCTGCTCTCCCTGGGCCACAACAACATTGTGCGCTGCATCGTGCATTCGCCCACCAACCCTGGCTTCATGACGTGCAGCGATGACTTCCGAGCACGGTTTTGGTACCGGAGATCAACCACGGACTAGCCCCCCTCCAGGATATGGGGTTCTTTTCTTGAGGACTGTGCCCCTCCTGCCCCTGCGTCCCATCACCAGCTCCAGCTCCGGTAGTAAGTCACTGCACCACCTGGCAGTCGTGCTGCCGCCTCTCCATCCTTCTTGGATTTGTACAAAAGAACCTTTTTTTACCTTGATGTAGAATCATGGTGGGAAAAGTTGGAAACGCAGATCTGTGCGGTGGTTCTGCATTCACTGATTATTACAGTGTGATTTTCATCGGTTTTGTAAATACAGGACTTGTCATTTCTCTTGAATCTCTTGATCATTTGAAGAAGGATAGAGTATTAAAGTGCTTTCTAGATCTCAAGTGGATCTGTCCTGAGGAATTTTCATTTGGTGGTTTTGTCAACTTCTGTGCCTGTTCTACAACCTCTTTACATATCTCCTTGCAGAATACATTTGGGCAGATAAGTAGGCATACAGCTCTGAGAATCAAGAGTGTTGTGCCATATTAAAACCATTTTAGAGAATCCCATCAGTTCTATCCTAAAATGACATCATTCTGAAAATAAAGCTTGGATCTCCAACTTTAGTGTTACACCTTTTTCACTTCAATAAAATTAGCGGTCAGTTTTTCCTGAAGACTTGTAGGAGACAGTATGTTTCATCATAGGTCCCACCTTCTCCTTTCATTGCCTGCAATGCTTATCTTCAGTAAATACCTCTCGTAAGATTATTACCAGTTGATGGAAAACCTAATTGAAGATCCATCCAATCTATCTAATCAAAATTAGGTGACCCCGCTGCTGCTCTCCGGTGTTGCTTGTTTCACAGATGATTCATATCGATCAACTTTGTTCTTGTGTAATTTTAAATCTCATTTTTCAGTTCTCTTCAGCATGAATCGTCACTGCTCATCATGGATGCCCACCGCAGCTATGTTCTTGGAAGATTTTTGCAGTTAACCAACTGATAGGGGTTTTCTTTTTCTCAAAACTTTTTAGAAAGTGACACTATTTCTCTGGATTCAGCTCAAGCTAGGTCAGGGAACCCTGACCTCCCCTCTGACAGATAGACTTTGGTTTATATTTATCCCCAAATACAAGTACCTCATGATCTGGGTAGGAGTACCTAGAAATAGAATCTAGGGTCATTTGATAAAAATATTAAATAGATTAAAGTTAAAGTAAGTGTTTTATGTTATAGGAACTTTAAAATCTTCTGAGGTTTACTGCCTAAAAATTCTGCATTCGTCATCCTCAAGGAGCATTTCAACTCTTTGGTCTGTGAAACCATTTTAGGCATACTGAATGTGTGAAATCAGAGTTTCAGTTCAGATTTCCAAAGAGCTATATTTTTTGGTCTATAGTGAGTTTGGATTTATTTTTATTTTGTGTCCTGATTCTCCAGCACTTGAACTTGGCTATCTGTGGCTGCTGCTTTTGTAAGATTAGAAGAAACCTACTGAATAGGAACAAGAATAACCAGTTCCGTAAAAAATTACCACCCAAAACTCCTCACTTCTTTTTCTGTTGTTTCTTTTGCTTTCAGCCCTATGAAACTACCACAGAGATTGAACATTTCTGCGTCCCTCTGCTCCACCACATGCAGTAGAGTGACCCCGTCGCATTCCCCAGTTTAAGTTCCACTGGGTCTTTTTAACTGTTCATGAATTTAAGTAATGATGCCTACTTTTTCCAGTTTCTGGAGTAGTCTCACCAGCGGATCTGTAGTTTCAGGACTCCTACTTACAAGATCAAGATACTTTTGTGTGTTTCCAAAACAGACTTTTTTTTCTTTTAAAAATCACAGTAAGGGACACCTGGGTGGATCAGTGGGTTAAGTGTCTGCCTTCAGCTCAGGTCATGATCCCAGGATCCTGGGATCCAGCCCCGTGTCCGGCTCCCTGCTCCGCGGGGAGTTTGCTTCTACCCTCTCCTCCCCACTCCTGCTCTCTCTCCCTGTCTCTGTTGCTATCTCTGTCTCAAATAAATAAAATCGCTAAAAAAATAAAAATCACATTAATATTTTGAACTGGTATAAATGCCAGGATTATTACATGGGCTTGACATCAGCATGTCATTAACTGTACCACGGAACACCCTGGCTTTCAAACAGTGAATAATAAGTCAGGATAAAAACTTATACCTTCTATGTTATTTTTTAAAGATATGTGATTTCTAAAATAAACTTTTTGTATATAATGATAATTTAAAGCTAGTTCTTTTTTTTTGGACCTTGCTTTGAATGTTTCCATATTTGAACATGTGCTCTCAAGCAGCAATTATGACTTTGGTACTTTTCATACTGTTTCTTTAGTATTTCATTCTAGAAGTCAGATTTTTATAGCCAAATCGCCTTTAGCTATGTACCTTATCCTAAAACTAAAGTATAATTCCATTTCTTTTGATGAGTCAGAGAAAACAACCTTTTACCTTAGACTTTGGTTTCCCTTAGGAAGGGCGATGTTGTGGGATGGGGGAGGCGTCTCAGCTCTGTTACTGACTTGTTTAGTAGTAAAGCAAGCCACTTCTCTGCAGGGCCACAGCTTCTTTATCTGTGATTAAAGAGCTTAATCAAAATCATCCCCAACATGCACTCAATCAGTAAGGCACTTTTTTTTTTTAACACCGCATGCTAGAAACAGATTTGGGGGAGGGGGAGACTTCTGTTTTTGAATATACAGTGGACCAGGTACTCTGAGAGCCCTTTCATTACACACCTGTATAGAATTTATTTTTATTTTTAATCTCTAAACAGCCGAGCTAGCAAGAAACCCTCAGGGAATTTTTGAGAGGCAAAACAACCAGAAATCACAAATCCAGACAATCAGGAGCTCGGGGGCAGCCAGTTGCACCGAGGACATTTGTCAATCCCCTGGAGCCTAAATGATTTCTGAGCTCTGACCTCACATGGTGGGAGCTTTGGTCCAGACCTAGGAAGAAAGCCCAGAACCCAGAAAGTGCCCCATTCCCTGAAAGGATGAACTTGACAAAAACTCCGCCTCCCGGAGAGAGGATAGCTGCCTGACTGGGTGCTGGCTCAGGTTTGGGGGGAGGGTCTTCTCTGACAATCCCATCTACAAGCTATTAGTCCACATAAGGTGGGAACAAACCACTTGCACTAGCTCTGCGGCTTGGAGAAAAGCGAGCCGAGAATCTAAAGCAAGTCTAAGAGTGTCTGACAGAAGCCAGCACAAATGAAGGAAGAACGCATCTTTACCCCCAGCTCAGAACCGTGGGGTCATAATCTAGTATGTAAGGAAACTGACCCTGTGGCGAGAAGCACTAGAAACTAGACAGGATAGTCAGACTTGAAGACTTGGAATTAATCAGATGCACGAGATGTGAGTGCATAGAATATGAAGAGCTGAAACAGAACCGATGACCAAGAGACTTAAAAAAAGTGACAAAGGGGATTTGAACAACAGAAACCTTTTAGAAAATAGTCGACATTTTTTAAAAGATTTTTTTTAATTTATTTATTTGACGGAGGGAGAAACAGACTCCCCACTGTGCAGAGAGCTGGACACGGGTTCCATCCCAGGACCCTGAGATCATGACCTGAGCTGAAAGCAGACGCTTAACCAACAGAGCCACCCAGGCGCCCCAATGGTTGACACTTCTATCACTTTCATTCCTTAGGTTTCTGGCCTTTTTCTGGAGCTTTTCTGCTTGGCCTTCCGACTCCCTTTGTGGGCGTTCTAGTCTGTGAAGCCTCTTTCCCACTCAGTTTTTGGCCAATTTACTCTTCACAGCCTGGTCGCTCACCTGACAGCAACCCCTTGCCTGTGCCCCCATGTTCCACCCTGGGGTTTTCTCGAGCTTCTCTTAACACTCAGCCCCTCTCCTCCAGCTCTTGGCCTACTTGATGCCCACAGCATTTCTTTTGCATCCTGTTTCTCAAGTCTTGCTTCCTTTTCCCTCTCCACCTTGGCATCAAAATTCAGGCTATTAAACAGAGTCATCACTGACAATTAGAATCCCGGTCCTCCCTGTTTTATCCATGCATTAGGGAATTTAGGTGAATTTGTTGACAATTTATGAAATTCTGCTTTCACCTAAAGAGCTCCATTTGAGTTATCTTCTTGTTAAAAGCTGCCAGATTACTAGATGATTTTAAAGCCATGCAGTCTGACATATCCTGCTAAGCCTTTAATGCTCTGGATGTTCTTCACCTGGTGTCCAGCTTCACTTTAAAAACTCAGGCATTGAGTGACCAGCCTTCGAAGACCACCCCTCAAGGAGCTTGAGAGCTCAAAGTCCACATGAAAACAGTATAAAACATCCCAAAAAACATTTCCATCTACAAAAGCAGTCTACCTTCCTGTGCATTTATTAGGAGCTATAGAAGTGAAGTGGTCAGATACTCCAGGCTGTGAAGAGAAAATTCATCCAAAATACTGTTCTCGGGAGCGTTTGTCAAGAGAAGAGGGGAAAATGTTTATAGCAGCACTGTCCACAATAGCCAAACTGTGGAAAGAGCCAAGATGTCCATCGACAGATGAATGGATAAGAAAAGGTGGTATATATACACAATAGAATATTATGCAGCCATCAAAAGGAATGAGATCTTGCCATTTGCAACGACGTGGATGGAACTGGAGGGTGTTATGCTGAGTGAAATAAGTCAATCAGAGAAAGACATGTATCATATGACCTCACTGATATGAGGAATTCTTAATCTCAGGAAACAAACTGAGGGTTGCTGGAGTGGTGGGGGGTGGGAGGGATGGGGTGGCTGGGTGATAGACATTGGGGAGGGTATGTGCTACGGTGAGCGCTGTGAATTGTACGAGACTGTTGAATCACAGATCAGTACTTCTGAAACAAATAATGCAATATATGTTAAGAAAAAAAGAAGAAGAAGATAGCAGGAGGGGAAGAATGAAGGGGAGTAAGTCGGAGGGGGAGGCGAACCAGGAGAGACGATGGACTCTGAAAAACAAACTGAGGGTTCTAGAGGGGAGGGGGTGGGGGGATGGGTTAGCCTGGTGATGGGTATTAAAGAGGGCACGTTCTGCGTGGAGCACTGGGTGTTATGCACAAACAATCATGGAACACTACATCAAAAACTAATGATGTAATGTATGGTGATTAATATAACAATAAAAAATTATTTAAAAAGAAGAGAAGGGGGAAATTACCTTATTAGAGTCTCAGAGTTGGTTCCCTTGAACTCTAGCTGTTTCAACCTTCAGTCAGCAGGATATTACTAAAGCCACCCAATTTCCAGGAATAGCAAACTCTTGCAATATTTGTGCACGGAAGGACACATTTGCCTAAAGAAGTAAATACAAATGGATTGCAGCAAAATGTCTAAGGGCTTTCATTCAGAAAAATGACAGGGCCAAATAGCAGACTGAGAAGCAAGCCCGGCATTCACAAAATACGACACTAAGTATCCATGTAAGAGTGAGTCTGTTTTCTTTTGGGACCAAATCTATGACTTTTGTGTCTTCATTCTGTTTTTTAAATTTAGGTTGTTTCTCCTAAAGAAGTGAATAAATAAGAACACATGCAAATTACAGCATTCTAACCCGTATCTGGAACTCCAGGGTCGGCCCTTCAGTATTGGGAAGAATCAC